AGAATACCACTTTTAACAAATAATGCTCATCTAGCAATTACCTTCACTATTAGCAAGTTGCTAAGGTTATTTTAAGTTACAGAATTGGACTGATTATCCGTCATGCCATGGAATGTCTGCTATAAAACAAATCAAATTCTATCAAAAAGTATTATATTTAGAACAGCGAATTCAACATAAAGAAAGACCAAATTACTAAAAATGGTTTCCTAATATAACAATTTACAATAAATGTTGGAATAAGTCACCATTAATTGCAAGACAGTAACCAAGTCGATCATAAAATCCATTTCGAATTGCAAATTGATAACTGGATATCTTTTTGTTTTAGAAAATTCCATAGCATCGCAGATTATTGAAAAAGATGCGGGTTTTATGTTTCCAAATTTCCGTCTTTGTGATGCAAAAAATTGAAAACTAATACGATTGATTGGCGTAACAAAATTTTTTCTACAAAAAACTTTTAATACAGTTTTGCTCTAAAATAATTTGGGGGGCCAATAATCGCATGTCATGAATTTTACATTGAAATCCCTATGATGCGTTACGCAAGTCAACACCCTGTATACGAGGGAACTTAATCATCCCTATCTACCCGACGACGTCTCAGAGCACGGTCGATATTAACAATTTTCGTCTAGGATTTGCTTAAAAAGAGGAAATTTAGGCAGAGGTATTTGTGCTTGTGTTGAGGGCAGAAGTAATTTTTACGTTTCGAATAGTGAGTGCAGCTTCCACAATTACAAAGGTGACGTACCCGTTTTTTTATCTCTACATCTATTGCATCCATCTAGTAATGATATGATCGTGTTAGATTATTTGCCAATTTAACTGTATTCTCATACAGCATGATTATTGCCATTTATAACCCATTCTAATTACAAATTGCCCCTATTTGGCCATACTTTGAATTAAATGCATAGAGATTCTACGTAAATATGTTTTCCAATTTACAGTAGGTACTCCTTTATGTTCCAAGCACTGTTTTGCCCGACAAACCGCAATATGAATTACTGACCGATTTACATGATTTTATTTATATTTAGATACAGTATGTTCCCTTAGGGATGATATTCAATACAAGTATGCAAAACTACAATTTAATTTATAATTGAATTTATTGCAGCTTTTGTTGGCATGAATATGTTACTGTTTATTTACAGGGTGCTTCATCTGGGGGCGAGTAACGTACGTTAGGTGGTTGATTGTTACATATTGCACTTGGCATTGAGAATTAATTACTTTATAGTAATGTTTTGCCACGACATGTTCCTTTGTTTTGTTGTAATGTGATACTTAACGTTATGCTCTTACTATTTATTTGAACCGGGTGTTGATTATTAATATTTGGCAAGATGACTTGTTTCGAATATGTACTGTGCTATATTTGATACCGATATTTAATCTCGAATTGACGTAGCAGAGGTTGACTAAAGTTTAGAACTGACATACGCAGAGATACATGTTTTATGTACTGTTTTTTGATCCAACCACCAATAAGATCTTGTCGAAGGCCACCACATTCTATTTGTCGGTACCCGCTTCCTAGCCCCCCTCCCCTACCATTGTATATCAATTTAATGTATTCGGGCAATTGTTTTCGGGGAATTGTCCTAAATTTAGATATCTTTACGTACAATCCAGTGGCGTAGTGAAAAAATCTTTGGGGGATTTTTTCTGGGATTTGACCCAATGTTGGTATTTTTTTAATGCAACACCCTGTATATCTTAACGTCAATTTTGTTGTATTCTTTTTCTTGATTAAATGATGTATCACAACGACACAACCTATACCTTTAGCTATGAAAATCAATGAAAACCTTTTTTTACTGTTTTTATATAGTAGGCCATGGATTCATGTAGATGTTGTTTTGTTTAGTGTACCATTGTAACTAAGGTAACTAAGGCAACAATAAAAATGGTTGACGATAGAAACATGTCATTTCAAAATTTTGAATCATATAATATACAGAGTGTTCTTATACGGAAGGGACTAATTCTTTGGCTTATTTTATGGCTAAAAGTTCACATACATTAGCTTCACAAACGCTTCGTTGCCGATCTACAGGACGTCATAAATTCATTGTACACTTTACAAATTAAACAAGTATAAATTGTGCACAACTCTTGGTCAAATAAAGCGCATTTTTTAACCGAAATAGCTTTAGTTTGGACATCACCAATGGATATATTTCTTGCAGACGTCTCAATCGCCCTTTGTGAGTACCCTCTTCCGACAATCCGTTCTTGAGGTATAAGGGAATATACCCGATCACGATAAGAGGTCGAGAAGGAGGGATATGGTTGGTAGAAATTAATTCCTTTCGTTGAGACCTTTCATTAGAGTACCATGAAGGAAAAAACTAGTTCTACCCCCCATCCACCCCACCCCCTATCCCCCTCCACCCCGTACTTTGAAAAGAGGACAGAAAGAAGGGCAGTAGTTGGTAGAAAACGGTTTCTTTCGTTGAGACCATTAATTAGAATACAATGAAAGATAAAATTCATTTTTAAACCCCCCCACTTACGTAGTGGTGAGGGGGGGGAGTGGAACTAGTTTTATCCTTCATGGTACTCTATAATGAAAGGTCTCAACGAAAGGAATTAATTTCTACCAACCATAGCCCTCCTCCTCGACCTCTTATCGTGATCGGGTACATTCCCTTATACCTCAAGAACGGATTGTCGGAAGAGGGTACTCATAAAGGGCGATTGAGACGCCTGCAAGAAATATATCCTTTGGTGTAAAAATCTTTTTGAAGTTTTCTATATCTTTTGAATCATTGGACCCTTTTTTAAATTTTTTTGGATTTGGATTGAAATTTTTGAAATTCTTCAAAATTTAGAAACCTAGATTTTTAATATTCTTTGAATTCCTTTAATTTTTCATATTTTTAAGATTCTTGACATTCTATTGATGCTTCCTTTCGAATTATTTCCATTTTTGACTGAAGATTTTTTCAAATTTTGAAGATTCAAGAAATTTTTCTGATTCTCATATTAGCCTATGGTCTCCCGATTTTTCAATTCTCATTACTAATGTTATCCTTAACATGACCCCTGAAAAACCAACACCCTGTAGATTTTCACTACCATCATTAATATTAATATTTAAACAATAAACCATTCTCATGACCGCTGATGTAAGCTCTTCATCGTACCTTAAATTGTATATATTATTATTTATATTTATTTTTATAAATTATACAGGGACAGGTAAAAAAGTTGAATCATTGGACCTTTTTTTTAATCTTTTTCGATTTCTTGAAATTCTTGAAGTTCTTGAAATTACACTTCCCAAATTCATTACTCATAGATGCTAAACTGAAACTGACGCACAATTCAAACAAACACTTTCTAGAAAATTCTGGAACGAGGGCATACTACATTCGATAGAAGCAATGAGTCACTTTATCACCGCCTCAATAACGTTCTAGAAAATTCGCTACAGTATGTGTATGATGAGACATGTAATGTTCCTAGGGGTCCTCAGGCGGTGCTGGAAATATCGACTTACCCTGTACTTACAGTTGGCAACTCTGGGGAAACAAATCGCAGACAGCGCCATCTAACTTTAGCTGTCAAAATGTCGGAAGTTCGCGCCATTCAGATCTCGGTAATATTCGGCTTGGACGAATTTGTACGAATGGACTCCTACGTTGTCATTTTCCTATGGCGGTCTTTTTTTGCGTTTGTACGTGAGACACAATCGGGAAGGGAAGTAAATAAAAGACAGAATTTTTTGTGCGTCCGAAAGGGAAAGAGAAAATGAAATTTATTACGCACGGGGCTTGGTTCAGCAGAGCAAATCCAAACCGAAAAGCCAGGAAAAAAGAACCAGCAATAAAAAAACCTGGCTAAACACAAATACAAGAAATAAATCAATTACAGGTAGCAATGTACAAACAGAAATACGAAAATCAAACATCTCAAATCGTACAACAAAAATCAAGTAATAAAGGCAAATGTGGCTAGAACAAATTAATCAAAAACGATAGATACACATGACATAATTACAAATTGTGAACAAAATAAATCATTGGGCCTTGGGGTATAAAAACACTACCTGAAAAAAAACATCGAGAGTTCATTTTAAACAACGTAGAGCAGGCATGACCTTGTCCCGACCTTGCTTATCATTCATTTATTACGTAACAAGTGCACGTGCACCTGAGAATGCCAACACGGGTATTCAAGCGGAAGCAGACCACACCACATACAAAAATCCACATTTTAAACAGAAGAGAAATTAATCAGAGGGCCCACCTTTCTCGCTAATGCGAGACGCTAAGAACTGCAGCCTGCGCGAGAAGAAAAAAAGAAACATATACAGCGACAGAGCAAACTGCATGTGGTTCTTCTCTTCCACGGAAATAAATTATTAAACCAAACATTCAGGGCAGTAACATTCTAGCAATCCACTCCCGCGTAAACACATTCAAATAATCATGGGAAACATTGCGGCATAATCAGGCGCACAAGGAGCCAAGCTAAAACATGACTCATTTAACGCTAAACTCAAACAATAGCCGCCCACGCCATGCCTGCAATCAGCAGAGGTCAAATCTAAAGCAAAATTCAAAATGAAAACAAATAAGGCATGAAATTTAAACATCGAATTTAAAATAGCTTAAATAAAACGAGTACTACCTTGATATCGCTTGGAAAAATATATCAAACACTAACTAAACTTTGAAAAGCACACAAAACCGCTACTCCACCATCAAAATCTGGACCACCAGTGCTCCCGCCGACGCCACTCTCCAGCTTTCTGTACTAAATTCACGTCTGCGCAAAACGGGATTCTAAAATTCCTTTAGTAGTAAGATGTGTTGCCTATCGGTAGGGGTTCAACATCACGGACATATGCATTCATTGAATGGGAGAATGTTTTTCTTGTTACCAGAATATTTTAAGCAGTTCTATCCAACCATCCTCTCACCAAAATCGCTAGTGGTTTTATTGTAGTCAATCTTTCGACAGTTTTTTTTTCATTTTAGGTATTATGCAGCCGTTTCAAAAGAAAGGCGCCTTAGTGTGGTGCAAAGACGGAGACTCGTGGTGGAGCGCTCTGCTGATAAGTCAAGATGGCCGTTCGAAGGCTTTGAAAGTTTTCATTTTTGGCACTCATACTATTTCCCACGTAAGTAATGTCGTTTACTATTTTCGAACTACCCTCTCACAAAATCACCTGACGTGCAGGTTCCAGAAAATGACGTTCAAGATTTCGTCGAGCACTTTGATGAACACGTTGCGGAAGGTCGGAGTAGGGGTTGCGTGTTTAAAGAAGGCGTTGTTGAAGCTCTCGTTGTAAGTTAAGAGAAATCAAAATTTACAAGTTACAAGTTTGACATTTAAAGGAACTTCATCTTGGGCAGAAGAATTTCACTCTGGACGACGTGATTAATTTAAAATTAAACGACTTCCCAGCTCGCGCCTATCGTGAGTAGCTTTCTTTTGAAGACATTCTCTTTGTTCACTAACGATTTTAGGTATTCCAAAATGGGTTCAAGTGTATCTAAATGATAAGAAAATGAAGAAAGTTAGCAAAGGCAAGTAACTACATCTTATTGATCAATATTTTTCCGCAACAAAATAGCCTGCTTAAACAATTTTACACCGTTTCGGTCAAAATCGACTGAACTGACCGCCCCCCCCCCCCATTAAATTCCACTTATCACCTCTACAACGCGTGTCTTTTAACTTAATAGAATATCATGATAAAAACAACGTTAAAATTACAATCGGCTTTTTGTATGTTTCAATTTTCTTTAATTGCAATGCATTTTGTTGTCTTTTTTATTTAGGGCAATATTTAAATGGAAGGTCATTAAAAAGGGCCATGTCCGATTTCGAGCAGAGGGAGTTCAACAAAGGGAGCCTCGTTTGGGGAAAATTTGGAAAAAGTTGGTGGGCCGCCGTTGTGCTAACCAGAAATTCATATACCAATAAGGACGATAAATATAAAGTCATGTGGCTGAATGATTTCACTACTTCTGTGGTATGAACTGGCAACACTTCAGAAGTGCGTGATAAAACATTCTTTTTCAGATTGAATCAGACGAGGTACTCGACTTTGTCGACAATTTTCAAACGATTACCGATCAGTATATGAAGCGAATGTCCGAGACCTGGAGGCGCGGCACTATTAACGCGTTAGGTGTAAGTAGTAGGTTGTGGATACGAAAGTTTACTCATGAATATTTGCCTAGGAACTCTACAATAAGGAACGGAAATTTACCCACGAAGATCTTGAACGATTTGTAAAGGAGGGACTTAATAACCTTCCTGTTCGCATTGATCGTAAGTTACATTTAAAAAGCAGAAGTCCAACGGAAAAAATTCAAAATCTTACTCCTAAGGCGCTGACGTGATTTTGTACTTAAATGGGAGAAGCTTCAAAAACTGAAAATTTACTAAAACTATGCGAACAATTAACCTCCTTCTGTTAAGTCCTATGAAAACTCTCGGGGTCTAAATGAAAATTTACAACATTACCTTAAAAAACTAATAAAGTAACACGTTATTGAAAACTACAATTTTACCATTCCCCGATTACAACAAAGTAACAAAGTCGCAATAGCTTTTAGTCCGTATTATTATGACGTGGCGTCGATCTCCATAGAGTTTGTTGAAAATTACCCTAGGTCCAGGTTCGTATTTGTTGGTGTATGACGATTCTTTATCTACAGGAAGTTGACAAGTTTTGACATACGGTTCGTAAGTACATCCTAATTTACACGGTCAGCAGTCTCGACCTTCTACCAAGTCAAAGATATGAACAGATAAGTTCGCACTTGCGATGTCAATCAAAGTTCATGAATATAAATGAATATGCGTGTCGAGATTTTACTGACAATGTTACGTTATGTGTTTAATTCCGCAATTGTCTATATTAATTTGTGTGTACCTAAACCGCATCCATTGTCTTCGAATTTATGTCCGAAATTTCACGAATCTCCAAAATAAAAAAAGTACAGGGTAGCCAAATAAGAATGCGAGGTACTGTATCTGGGAACCTGTACATCGTAGAGGCTTGCGGTAAAAAAAATTATTACTAAAACGGCCACGAGAAAAACCTCGAAAATATTTTTAAGTTTCTGAAATGATCGCTAGGGGGCGTAACTGCAATCTGGAATCTAAAAAAGTGATTTGATATCGAGATGCTGTTTTCGTGAACTTGTTTAGGCATCATTTAGCTACTTTTTCATGAAAAAAAATCAAAACAACGCATTTAATTTTTTTGACAAAATTAACCATGTCTGTCGGAATGTCGAAAAAAGCCCTCAAGCGGTGAAACTAACTAACTAACTAACAAAACTTCAAATAGTATAATATTTGTAGCCGAAGAATAGCTCTTTTGAACTAACTTGAGTTTGTTTAAATCGGCTCAGCCGTTTCAAAGATACAGGGTGTTCGTTACGGAAACCTTTGAATACCCCCACCACTTCATTTTTAGAGATACAGGAAAAATTGTCAAACAAAAATTGTTCAGATCATCGTCGACTTCAAAGACCGGACATTTTTTTGTTAGGTTAATATAGCGGAATTCACAGAAACATCACTTTTTTAGATTCCAGTAAAGTCACTAGATATATATAAAGTACCGCAATCATCCGCCATTTTTGGGCAAATTTGCTGCCAACTTGCCAAATTGACAAATAAAATCTGACTAGCTGTCATTTTTTTATAACCTAACTTCATAGTACTGTCATGTTTTATAAAATATATACAGATATCTCCAAACAGGTGGAACAATCTCTAACATTAAAGTTACTAGAATCTGGTAACTTCCGCCATTTTTGGGCAAAAATCATGCGTTCTCTCTCCTAACACACGAGCCCAATGGATTGCGGTACTTTCTATATTTAGTGACTTTAGATTCCAGATTGCAGTTACGCCCCCTAGGGGTCATTTCAGAAACTTAAAAATATGTTCCAGGTTTTGCTCGTGGCCGTTTTAGTAATAATTTTTTTTACCGCAAGCCTCTACGATAGATAGATTCTCAGATACAGTACCTCGCATTCTTAGTTGGCCAGTTGAACATTTCAAAGGCACCCTTGATTTTTCAAAACTAAAATCACAAATTAGTTTCCAACCAAGGCGCATTTTAAAGAAAAGCTTGGGTTTGAGTGGAGATAACATTGAACCGTTCAATTTCCCGTTCCTCTTTTGCATAGACCGACGAGAAATAGATAAGAATGCGGGTTTGCGATTGGTTAAAAAGTGACGGTGATCGCGAAGTTTGCGTTGGTTCCTTTTCTGTAATCAACAAAACCGAAACGACTTGAAGGAAAAACTTAACACAATATCAATATCAATCATAAGCGTGCTGCTGATTTAACTTAATCTTTTATATCTACAGATATACCTACCTCTGTTCAAAACGCTCTGGAGAAGAAGCATAATAATTTTAAGGCCCACAAAAAGACGTGTCCAAAGAATTATAAAGGTAGGTAACCTTGATTTTTAAAGCCAGGCATTTTAAGCTTCATCTATAATCTTAGGTCTTATTCGAAAACTCTTGTCAAAAGGTGAAACCCTGGTAGATGTCCGTTTGTGTCTTGGATGTTACGCGGATGACGAACTGTGCCATGAGCATCCTCTATTTGTTGGCGATCTCTGTAAAAAATGCTTTGTAAGTATGCTATATTTTCATTTCATTTAGCAGGATCTCGCCCCCGATATAGGTAACTTGCCCTTTGTTCAGAAAATTCAAGCCTACAGTTGAGAATCGAGGTTAGTCCCGGTATTAGGTGTCGTGACTAACGCGCGGTTACCCCCGTGACGACGAAATTGTTAGTACACACATCAAACAATTTGACAATTTCCACATATTGAAATGCATGACCAAATATATAAATTCAATTTGGGGCCAAGACCATGTACCCACTCATAACCATATATTAAGCAAAAATTTGCGCCATAAATGAAAACAATTTCAATCATATGTTTCCGAATTCTGGTTAAATCGTGTCAATTTCAAAAACTAAGATTGAAAAAACATAAAATGTATACAAAATATAAGTAAATTCGAAAGAAATGCAAAAATTACCTGCATTAAATAACGCGAAAAAAAACAATAAACTTCACTACACGATGCTTTCTCGACGACGGCTCAAACCAAGATGGCTGTCACGTTAGAAGCGTTCGTGCTCTCGAGACTAAAAGGTAAAAAAAATGTGTGCATCATCGTAGGTTGTATATACAGGGTGAAACATCTCAACTTATTCAGACACCAATCTGGTTTTTCGTCTGCGTCTGCGTTTTCGTCTCGTTTTTTCCTACCTCAATGTACATTTAAAAAAAAACTTCAAAATGGCATTCTTCTACACCAGCATCCGCCACCAATAATTGAACACAAAAAAGTGCAGGTGAGAATGCAAGTTACATTGCATTATCATAAAGATTCACATACTAAACATCAGAAGAACAAAGTTATTAGAGGACCCCCTTCTAGTATTGCTGAGATACAGTAATTGCAATTGTAAAGGCTTTTTAAATAAAATTGACAAAAATTTCACTTAAACGGGCTGGCTTTGAAACATCCTTTACCTTGAATCCAACCAAGGGAATAGTATCACTGAAATGAAATGCGAATTCCCAACTAATGAAAGAAAATAACCAAACTCCTTTGTCCGGGTTCAATTATTATCAATAAAT